AAGTGCATTGCAGTCCACGCTACGTAAAACGCGGAGTAGCTCCGTGTGACATGGGTACTTCCGTGTGACATGGGCGCCTCCGTGTGACATGGGTACTCCCGTGTGACATAGGCGCATCCGTGTGACGTGGGCGCCTCCGTGTGACATGGGCGCCTCCGTGTGACATGGGCACTTCCGTGTGACACGGACGCCTCCGTGTGACATGGGCGCCTCCGTGTGACATGGGTACTTCCGTGTGACATGGGCGCCTCCGTGTGGCATGGGCGCCTCCGTGTGACATGGGCGCCTCCGTGTGACATGGGCGTGTTGCGAGCATTACATCGCCACGCCCGGTCACTGTCCGAGACCATGTGCTTTGTGGTAGTGGGGTTGGTCCACCCTCGCCCGCCTGACAGCCCAGTGCCGGCGGCCGGCACGGCAGGACAGAGCGGCACGGCTTGTCCCCGTGGTCGGAGGGAAGCGGCTCAAATGGCGGCTTAGCGTCAGTCCTGCCAGCCGGCGACGGTGGCCGCCCCCGACTCGGCGCGGTGGCCGGACCTGGTGCCGCCAGCGCGGCGTCGGCGCCCTGGCGGACTGGGCAGTCTCAGCTCCCGGCCCCGGTGCGACCCAGCACACCGGGCCGGCAACCCTCACATGTTGGACCTGGGACCGCACACATCAGACCGGGGCCCGACACGCTGGCCCCGGGTCCGGGCACGTTGTCCCGGAACTCGGACGCGCCAGACCGCGTCCTGGGCCCAGCGGGCGGGTCGGCTCTCCACAGGCCGGGCCGGAAACGGTCGCGTCACGCTCGACAAGCCGTCACGTGACGGTAGGGCGTTGGCGGTGACGGGGAGGCGGCCGGAGGCGGAAGCGCTGACCTGGCTGCGGGTTGGAATCCGGTGCTCCGACGCCGTCCGCATCTCAGATATGGAAGCGTCGGGCTGCTGATGACCTGAGAGCCGGAGTGAGTCGTGTCTAATGATTTGGCCGGAACCAGGGCATGCCGATGGTGCCTGCGCCAGAAGCCCGTCAGACCAACCAACAGGTACGCGGCTGCTGTTTCTAAACTTGCCGATTACCGGGACTCGTTAGTCATCCTTTCACTCGTTCGTTCGATTCACGCTGCGAACGGGTCCCGTTGTCACAGGTACTGCCTTCGAGCCCCACTGGCTGGATGTGTTTGGATCGGATTTGTTTGCGGCTGGTGCCTGGTTTGGCCGCTGGCGTCTCACTCTGGCGTCTTCCGCATTGTGAAAGGAAAAAATAATCTCTTGATGTCTTGTCGCCTTCTTATTCACCTGCCGGACCGCTATGCCAGTCGCGCCTCAGATGTGAAAGCTGTCGGACTTTGTCGAAGCTTCTTCGCATTGCGGATGCCTGGAAATGAATGCCAGGCGTCTGTGAATGTCGCTCCCCAGCTTTCTTCGCGTGGTTGAGCGAGTTCGGGCATGCATGTCCGTCCGCGGTACTTTCATCCCAATAAACACACACACACACACACACACACACACACACACACACACACACACACACACACACACACACACACACACACACACACACACAACACACACACACACACACACACACACACACACACACACACACACACACACACACACACACACACACACACACACACACACACACACACACACACACACACACACACACACACACACACACACACACGCGCGCACGCACGCACGCACGCACGCACGCACGCACGCACGCACGCACGCACGCACGCACGCACGCACGCACGCACGCACGCACGCACGCACGCACGCACGCACACACACCACACACACACACACACACACACACACACACACACACACACACACACACACACACACACACACACACACACACACACACACACACACACACACCACACACACACACACACACACACACCACACACACACACACACACACACACACACACACACACACACACACACACACACACACACACACACACACACACACACACACACACACACACCACACACACACACACACACACACACACACACAACACACACACACACACACACACACCACACACACACACACACACACACCACACACACACACACACACACACACACACACACACGCACGCACGCACGCACGCACGCACGCACGCACGCACGCACGCTTTCTATCATTACTCAGCCCTCATCGAAACCTGCTCTTTTATCTCCCCTACACCCCCACAATGTATCTCTCTCCCTCCCTCTCTCTTCCTTTCCCTCCCCCCTCTCCCTCTCTCTCTCTCCCTCTCTCTCACTCTCTCTCTCTCCCCTCCCCCTCCCTCTCCCCCTTTCGCACCCTTTACTTTTATTCTATACATTTTCCAAACATCTGCGTTTAACTACATGCCAAGGTAAACCCCGTGTCGGACGGCGCGCCAGTTGAACACTCCTCATCCCACGTATGCAGATCCGGACCTCGCCGGCCCCCAATGACGTCACTGGGTGCGCCCTTGACGTCATCGGTCGCGCGCCGCGCCGCGCCGCGTCTGGAGTCACTGACCGGGGTTTGGCGCCTTCGAGGTCATGTGGCTAAACCAAATCCGTGCTATCTTTAGTTTTTAGCTTTTCAGGGGTTTTGGTGGCCAACCATGCTGTGTTTGCTACGTACTTTTCAATAATTACGCATATTTTTAGTTATTGCGTGTTTTATATATTTAGTGACAGGTATATTTTTGCGTTGCGACTTGGACTTCTTACAGCTCATTTTCAGATGTGATAGCGTTCATTGTCAGATATGGTGGCGTTGCTAATAGATGCAAGTGGACTCCCTTATGTGACTATTCATCTCTCTTGGTGAATTTTCAAGTTATTTGGCGCGTGTCACGCCTTTGTATGCATCCTATCGTTTTGATTACACGATTATCCGTTACATTGCTTCTAACTACTTCATTTCAGCCGTGTACTGTCTATATATCCAATGCGATGGCTGCTAGACAAGTGACAGGTACTGCGCCACGCGCTGCAGGCCACAAATGCCGTATGTGTTGACGTGGACTGGCGTAGGAGTCATCTGAATACCGCTGGCGTCCTCCATATGCATTAGCTGATCTATTTATGTGTGGTTTGGGAGTGCCTCGTGCCTGTAGATTATTGGAGCGTTCGGTTCTTTCAGCTCACGTTTGGTTTGGTTTGAATTAGAGCCCTTCGGGCCACTAGTGACCATTTCAGGGCTATGAATAAAGGAGAGTGAATAATGGCGCGGGAAGTGTACTTGCATCTGGGTCATCCCCACAGGGTCTTGCTCACACAGGGACCCCTTCCTGTGGTCTGTGCCTGGCTCGGGTGAGGCTCCCAGGGGCGCCTAAGCCCATGCATGCATGCATGCGTGCAATTTGCCGACGACAACCTGGGCTCTGCGGGGACGCAGGATGAAATGTGAGTGAGGAGAACGGACGGACGATTTTAACTTGCTGGAGTAAGACAACTGAACAGGCTGCGAGGGCGGAAGCCCGGTGCGAGGGCGCAGCGGGTGGGACTGACGCAGACCAGTGGCGATGTTGTGTGGGCACCGGCAGCGCTCCTATTCAAACTGGAAGGACGCGACGTGCCGATTCGGGCCTCTGGCCTGGAGATCCGTTACACCGTGTGTGTAGTGTTTAGCCCGGCACGCTTCCACGCCTCGCTGACACCGCCTGAGGTCCGCCCGTTCGATTCAAGCCTTCCGTCATTGTTCGCCTTTCCAGCATTGGTCCTCGCCCTGCCTGGAAGCTTCCGGCGTAGCCGAACCCCGCCTTTCAAACGGCCCCGGCTGCCGACCGGACGGCTAGCGCGCCGCCGCGCACCACAGCTGGGCGGGTGGCCTCAGGTGCCTCCGGCGCCGCGGCCGGTGCCAGCTGCGCCGGCCGGGCTGGGACCTGACCCGGCGCCGGGCCGCGGCGGCGCATCTGTCAGATGGCGAGGCCCAGCTGCCGCCCCGCCTGCGCTCGCGATGGCCGGCTCGTCGGCCGGCCGTCGAACGACGCCAGGTGCCGCTGCTGTCCCCGGGCGCCGGCGGTCGCGCCGGCTCGGCCGCACGCGCTGGGAACGGCAACGCTTCCTATGACGCCTGGTCCCTGGAGGAGACGCCGTGGCGGTAATTCACACGAGCCGGCGGCGAGAGGGAGCGCTGCGTGACCCCACTGGCAGAGTACGGCCGCGGCAGATCGCTTTATTGAGCGCTCTTCTCGAAGCGCATGCCATCTAAATGGTGACGACGAGCTCCTGATTGCGGATTTCCCGCACCCGCCGCGAGTGAGGCGGCCTTCTGGAAAAGAACGGCCAATGTCGGCGTATCGGCAAATCCTCCGCTCTCAAATGACTCGCAGCGTCAGCTCGGGGCGCCATTGTGCCGGGCGGGCGGTGAGTTTAGGGTGGCCGAGCTCGGGAAATGCCAGCGCGCTGCTGAGCTCTTAATGCATAATGCCCACCGCTGGCGGCAGCCCCGCTCTATTGAAAAGGGACTGGCCGGGGGCTGGGCGGAGCGTGCGCTGCATGGGAGCCGGCTGCGACTTCCCGGGAGGGCGGATTGATCAGCTCGATGGAATGGCTCCGGCAGTGGTGTGTGCTCAATTAGAGTGCAGTCTGGTCACTAATAGGCTATGTCTGCTCTACCAGGTAACCCCGTGCGCAGATGAAGGGGACGGGGCGTTCGATCTTGTGGAGGGCCGATGTATAGTGACTCTCATTAACCGTATGTCTCTCGCTTATGAACCTACTGAGTACGACAATGCCTGGCTGTGGCAGCATGAATGCTTATGAGTATAGAGCAACGCAGACCGTTCATATTCGTTAACACGGTGTCGTGCTGGAGTTCACTGAGCACTCGGTCGTGGCATGCTGGGTGGTCTGAGATTTACCCGAAGATTAGCCGTGTTTTTACAGCAGACTTTTTGGTCGCCGCCGCCCCGTCAACACTGGCCTCAAGAGCCCTTCACATTAGCGGAGAGCTTGCGTTAGCGGCACTCGGCCTGTTGTTTATTGTCGTTTCCGTTTCAGAGGACACCGGGTCGCCAGACGATGGAATGAAGGGGCCGCACCCTGCTTCAACTCAGGTAAGCGCCTCGACCGCGGCCACCGCAGGGGCTCGTCGCGTAACCCCGCAACCTCGCGACCCTTCGCACCCCTCTGGCAGCACACACCGCGTACTCCACACTACGCGGAGGGCATGAAGCCGCTGACACACCGGCGTGATCGTCCGGGCACTAGCAACGCAGCGTCAGTGTCAGCGCAGTGTGAGGCGGCAGGCGACGCTGGCGTCGCTCCGTGCTCCGTCACCTCCCCCGGGCTCGCGTCGCAGCGTATCAGCGCCGTGGTTACCATACCGGGCGCACCCAGCCGCGCTTGACCCGACCCTGTCCGCGCCAGACCCGGCCGGGTCTCGATGCCAAGGACTGGCAGTGGCCCACGCCGGCCGTGTCCGCTGCTGTGCCCGCGGCTGTGTCCGCAGTTGTTTCCGCTGCACCACCTCGGACCGAGTTGGGCTGGACTGGACGCGCACGGCTGGATTGTACAGCCTTCGACGGACTGTGCCGTCCCCGGCAGGACGGTACCGTTGTCGTCGGGACGGCACCGTCCCCAGCTTAGCCGTGCCATTGGCGGCATGTCGGCGGTCTCAGGCGCCACCGCTCGGCTCCGGCTGGGAGTTAACGGTACCGTCGCCTCGTCGGCGGCCGGGGCCGGCGCGGCGGCGGCGCGCGCCGCGCGCACGTCGCGCCAATTTACGTCGTCGTGCGTCAGGCTCGGCGACAGGGTCGTCCGTCACTGCCAGCGGCGGTCACGCTGCCCGTGCGCCGGGCCGATCACCTCGGCCCCGGTCGGCGCCGCTAGCGGCCGGTGCGGTGGCGGCGGTCCGGTCCTGTCCGGTCCGGTCCGGTCCAGCGGCGCGTCTGACTCGCCTCCGTCGTCCGGCCGCCGCGTTCCGTGGTGCACGCCCGCGCTGCAGCTCGCCGCGCCGTCCGACTAGCGCAATATGCCGCCGCGGCTGCCACGGGCGCCGAAACTGGCCCGTCGGCACTCGCTGACTGGCCGGCGCGGTCCGGGAGGCGTGCTGAGTCGCCGGCGCCGACCCCCGGCACACCGTTCCAGTCACACCGCCGCCGGAAACGGAATTGCGAGGGCCAGCTGGCGACTTGTCGGCCGTTTACCGGGCTGCCGCGCGCCCTTCGCCCGGTCTTGCTTGCTTACATAGACCTTGCACCACGTCACTTCGTGAAGCGACGCTGACTTGGCGACAAACCACGTCGGCGGCGGCTCTTGTCACCCGTTTGTGACCACCTCGCTGCCCACTGGAAGCATTTCCTGCCGGCGTGCCTCACGCACAACGCACCGCGACCAGAGACACGTGCTGGTGCACCTGTCGCGTATAGCCGTCTGCCCAGTGCGCCTCTCAATTTGTGGCGGTTGCGTGCCTCGTCAAATGTCGCACGCTTCTCGGCCCTCGGCAGCGTGCCAACATCAACGCCTCGCCTCCGCTTGTGTGCGGATGGAGAGGCATTGCCCGCACGGACGGACTAAAGCACGAGCTCCTCTACTCCCGGCGTTGCCGGTGGCCTGGGGACCTTCCCGACGAAGGCTTAAGCACTAGTCACGCCCGACCGGCGACCTTGACCCTGTGACGTCATCATATCAGCCGACCGTCACGCCACGGCGCGGTTGCGGTATTCATGGCGCGGCCGCGCGGCACGGATTCCATTATCTCTGACTGGGAGGCGATAATCGTACTTTTTGTCCGTGCTCTAATCCCTTCCGAGGTGCTGCCGTGTTTCTTGGATTTCCGCGCGATCGCTCCACGACACGCCTGTGCTTGCGAGGGTCCCGGAGGGTCCCGCGGAGGGTCCCGCGGAAGGTCCCATGGAGAGCGATTTGTGACCTGGTCAAGTCTGCGATGCCGTCTCTCAGAATATGTTCCTTGCGATTCACACTGGCGACTCGTTGAAGACGGTAGTTCTGTCGAAGCGGTGACAGCGATGATGGAGCCCAGACTTGCAGTGGCGGAGGACGGAGCAAGCGGGACGTTACACGAGACAACATCTATAGGTGAAGAGATTGCCTACCCCGCAGGTATCGGGCTCTCGGCACATGCAGCAACAATGCAGGAGTGTGCACAATCCTTCTGAACTGAACTGAACTGAACGCGAACTAAACCGCTCGTGATGTTCCCCACCCAGCATTTGCAACTAAACTCCACCCATGTGCATGTGCCCCGCCCAACATACTGCACACAAGCTTATTCGTGCCTTTCGTGCACACACTGAGTCTGACTCGACCAGAGGGGTGCTGGCTCTAGAAGTGCGCTTGACCTCAGTGTCTGTTTGCTGGACCGAGTCAGCGAGCACGTGGTCTGCCGTGCGCGTGCGGGCGGCGTCGGCCCAACCGAGGTCAAGGTGGCCCGCCGCGCCGGCGCTCCCCCCGCGGCCGCTCTCCCGGCGCGCGGGCCTAACCGCTCCGCCGCGCCGACGCTCCCCGGTGGGCGTTCTCCCGGCGCGCGGGCCTAACCGCTCCGCCACACTGGCGCTCCCCCGGCGGGCGTTCCCCCGGCGCGCGGGCCTAACCGCTCCGCCACACTGGCGCTCCCCCGGCGGGCGCTCTACCGGCGCGCGGGCCTAACCGCTCCGCCACACTGGCGCTCCCCCGGCGGGCGTTCTCCCGGCGCGCGGGCCTAACCGCTCCGCCGCGCCGGCGCTCCCCCGGCGGCCGCTCTCCCGGCGCGCGGGCCTAACCGCTCCGCCACACTGGCGCTCCCCCGGCGGGCGCTCTACCGGCGCGCGGGCCTAACCGCTGAGCCACGCCGTCTCCCGTATGCCGAGCAGGCTAACTCACTCAGCCCGGTGCCGGCGCGGAATATTTATCACCTGTCATCGCGTGCAGGAGGCGGCGTGCCGGAGCTGTCGTCCGGCGTGCCGCGTTTGCGGCCGCTCTGCCAGCGCGCGACGTGTCAGGCGCCCCCGAGGCCGAGGCGCCGTGCCGGTCGGGTGTTGGCTACACTCTGCGCCGTCAGGGCCAGTTCTGAATGGACACACAGGTCCACAGGTCCACGTGAGGGACATCGTCTGGCTCAGTGTGGTGTTTCTCAATCGCCCGGATCCTTATGCGTACGTGTCCGCTGATCCAGTCCAGTAGCTTAGCAGCACCGGCTTCTTGGATCCTACAGTTGCATATTCCTGTTACAGGCTGGCTTAAGACGCCCTCATTGCAAGGCCAACATTACTGCAACCTGCTATTGTGGCACGTATGACTATTTAGAGCAATTGAGACCTGCCAGACCTTTGGTAGTCCGTGTAGCGACGGCCTCAGTGACCGCTGGCGCACCGAGCGAGCGGAGAGAAATCAGGCAGGAAATGCCTGGATCTAAATCCGTCATGTCTGGCCTCCCACGCGTGACTCAATGCGATCTGTTAAAGGCCGGCTGAGTTACGGCCATCGGCGGCGAGTCGCCGGCCCTGGAGCTGTAACAGAGCCGGCTTGTTCCGCCTCGGCTCGTGGTCGGGTTTGTTTTGGCGTGACTGGCGCTCGGGTGTGTTATGACGGGCCCGGTTCGCGGGTGCAGCCGGCCGGGCGCGCACGTCTGCCGGCTGCCGCACGTGAGATGCAGACGCGGTGTTCGGCGACTCCACTCAGAGTTGATCCGGCTCTGGCACGTGGTTGGCTCGCTGAGTTATTTGAAATTGCTGTCAGTGATTTTTTATGTCATTGTGGAGGACATCAGACCAGATGAAGGGGGGGGGGGGGGGGCGTTAGTGCGTAGGTAGCTTTTCAAAAACTTTGCACGCGATGTTAACTTGTCTGACGCTGCTGGTGCAAACAAACTTGCATCGTAGATATGGCTGAACACCTGTACATTATTTGGCCGAACTCGAACATGATACACATCGTCTGGGATTTCCTTTTTCTTCTGCTACACACATTTACTTATTCACGTGCCCAGTCAGCACCAAAGCTAATGCTATCACCGTTGTGATAAATAATAGCGAGCTAGCGCGAGCAAATCCGGTTTTGATTTAAGCTCCCTTTGGAGTGCTCGAGTGTCAGCCATTTCCGCCGTCAGAGGCCTGTGGTAATTCCTCTCTAGGGAGAGGTGCCCATCATCGGGGCTCCGGCCGCTTTACCTCGCTAAACGAATGGCCTCAGCCAAGTTCAAAACCAAATTGCATTCTGCAGAAGGAGCGCGGTGGATGTCCGGCGAAACAAATGAACCAGCTGCAGAAAATGGCTGGGCGTCTGGCCTCTCGCGGCTGTGGCGGCGGGTTATGAGGCTGGCCGACCATTACGCCTGGCTGCGGCGGCCGGGTGCCGAGGGACACCAAGTCCGGCCCGTGACGTGCGCTCACCGCTCAACCCGTCTGCGGCTGCTGTATTATGCAGGGGCGCACTGGCGCCGCGGGAGGTGCTCACGGCTCAGCGATGAGACGCCAAACTCTCACCGTCGAGGCATGACCATGCAGCGTGCGCCCACCGGCCGCAGCTGGCCCGCGGCGGGACGGCGTCGCCACACCTCTCCGGCTGCCGCTGGTGGCGGGAGCGGCGCGGCCTGCGCCGGCCAGCCGTGACCGGGCGCGGCAGAGCGCCGGGTGCCGTGGTGCCGTGATTGACGTGTTTTTCTGGAGCGGCAGCCGGCCGGCGCTCCGCCCACGCCTTTCTCCGCGGCCTCGGCGGGCCCGCGGCGCCGGCCGGGCCGTGACCGCACCGTGACCGGGTCGTGACCGGGTCGTCAGCGGCGCGACTGACCTCCGGGCGCGGACCGGTGCGGCGTGACTGGTCCGGCCGGTGTGGATGGCGTCTGCCGACCCGCCGAGCGCTGAGTCTGGCCACGCCGTCCGGCTGGGTGACCCCGTGTAACGACGTCAGACAAACCGGCGAAATCGGAAGCCTGCTGCCTGCCCGAGTGAGGCGTGATAGACGTGCCTTTCTGGAGCTAATGACTTTAACTGAAGGCCCCTTTCAGCTTCTCTTGGTGTCCATCGAAGCACTAATCAAAGCTGCGCCTGCTTGGGGTGTTGAAAGCTCCGGCTCCGTTTGTCGGGGCCGTCGTTACCACGGAGTCCTGTCTCCTTCA